TGGCTTTACCTCTCTGAGTTCTAGTGTCTTCATCTTAAAATGGGGTAATGATTCCAACTCCCAGGACCGGCATGTGGAAAACCCGCACACTATGTGTACACTTCTATCAATGAGAATAACGCCAGAACATAAAACAGCCCCTCTGGAGGGCCATGGACCCTGAGCTCAGTCCTCTCTGCCCCTTCCTGTGCGTGTGGCAACACCTGCGTGCCAGCAGGTCTCGGGGTACCTGATCCCCTCTTCCTGCCCTGATGGTAAGTAGCTGGTACCTCAGAGAGCCAGCTGGTGGGGCTGAAGGAAGCAGTTCCAAGCTAAAAGCAGGCCAGAGTCAGTCCAAACCCTGCTGGTGTTCCCTGGAAAGGCCAGGGCCACCTGCCCCTGACCACAGTTCTCGGGGTGCACTGATCTTAGATACAAAGGGGAGTCTCATCCTCCTGCTCCAAGTTAAGACGGCTGATTCCCAGGTTTTCCCCACCTGTCAGCCTTGGCTCTTGCTGTCCACGCCCCACCCCCGCCCCCACCTGGAATGCTCACTCCCTGCTGACTGACTGCTCCGCATTCAGAGCCCCAATTAAACACCACTTCCTCAGGGACGCCTCTTCTCCCCCACCCACCGCCATCTGACTAGGGGCCCGTGGGTTATCCTCTTTCCTGCACCCTGTGTATTTTCTCCATCCAGCACCTAATGCAATGTGGGGTTATGCATTTTAGTGTGTATTCACTTTGTATTGTGTCTCTGCCTTAGAACGTAAGCTTCGGGAGGCAGGGGTTGGCTCTGCCTGAATCATTGTATCCACTTCCTTAACCCTGGTCACCGGGCCAGGCCCTCAGTAAAGGTTTGCTGACTGTATAAAAGGTGTCATTGTCACTCATTCATTCATTTGCCATGAATTAAGTCTCAGAGAACCACACCAGCTGGTGTGGCTCAGTGGATTGAGTTCCAGCCTGTGAACCAAAGTATTGCCAGTTCGATTCCCAGTCAGGGCACATGCTGGGTTGCAGGCCAGGTCCCCAGCAGGCGTGCACGAGATGTAACGACACGTTGATGTTTCTCCCCTTCTCTTTCTCCCTCCCCTCTGTCTAAAAATAACTAAATAAAACCTTAAAAAATAATCCCCTCATGCTTCACTCCCTCATGCCTTTCCAGCCCTCAGAGAAGCCCCCCGACTACCACATGCCCATCCACCCCGCCAATGCGTTCCCGATTCATTATTGATTTCAGAGTTCTCCCCGCTGGAATGAAGTTCCACGAGGCCAGAGATCCTTTTTTGTCAACGGACTGCTTGTCCCCAGAACCTAGAGTGGTGTCTGGGACACAGTAGGAGCTGGAGGAACAGCTGTGGGACGGACTTGAGGCCGGCAGCCTGGGCCAGCTCTATCCACACATCTCACGCAGCTTTCATCCTGGCTCTGGGAGGCAGGGCCTGTTATTACCTCATGTCAGAGACAGGAATCTGCAGTTCAGAAGAGGTAAATAAATGGATTGGAACCCCATTCTGTCTGACCTGCACCCAGTCTCTCTGTCACCAGCCTGTCTCCTGAGAGGGGTGTGAGGTCTTTGGCTGGCTCCTCCTGTCCCCACAGTTCTCACAGCCACTCCAGCAGATGTGGCCCAGCCTCCCGCCTGTCCCCCTGTCTCCAGTCTCTCTCCCCAGCCCACTGACCTCCCTGGCTGCAGAGATCCTTCTGAACCCCAGGTCTGACCATGGCCCTTCTGTGCTCAAAACCCTCCCATGATCCCCATTGCCCCAGTCCAGCCTGGCATTTGAGGCCCTGCCCCGTCACATGCAAACGCCCGAATGACATGCTCCCAGGCAAGCTTGCTCTCAGCTCCAAGTCTTGGGACACGTGACCCCTCTCCCCCCCCCCCCCCGCCCCGCCTAGAACACTCTCTCCCCTCGATCTGGAAAAACCCTGCTCCTCTTTGCTCTCAGCTTGGCGGTCACTTTCACTGGACAGAGGACAGGGGTTGGTGTCTTCTTCCATGTCCTTCCAGCTTCGCTGTCATCCCCAACCTCTTACCCACTGGGGCTGCAGAGGCTGTGAACTCCCCATGGGCAGGGGCCATGACTAATTCATCTCCAGGCTCTCGCTTGGGGCCAGGCTCAGCGCAGGGACCCAACAAATAACTGTGAAGTGATTGGATGTGTCGGGAGTCAGGCTGCTGGCTTTGCACCCTGACTCCGCTGTTTACAGGCTGGGAACCCATGGACTCGTCCGCCAACTCCCTGTGCCTCAGTTTCCTCATCTGTGCAGTGCTGGGAATGAAATGAGTTCATACATGGAATCACTTGGTACGGGGCCTGGTGCCTGCTGAGCAAGGCCTGTTGGAGTGAAGCAGGGAACAGGTGGGGGGCGGCGGCAGGGAGTGGGAGCTCGGTCCTGGTGGGCACACCCTTCGGGGCAGCCCTGGCTGCTTCACACCCTGGAGGCAGCCCTGTCCCTGGCTGAATCTTTTCCCACCGCTGCCCTGTTGGGTCCAAGGTGACCTGTGGAATTCAAGGCCATTGGACACAGACAGGAAAAGGCAGCGTCACCAGCCCTGGTGTAATCCAAACCAGATGCAGCCTCAAACCCATGGGGTGGTCACTGTGGGCTTGGCCGAGGCCCAGAGGCAGGAAATAGTCTTGGAGGAACACTCTCTGGGCTGGGACCAACGGGAGGAGCTGTCCCACTGAGACTGTTAACTCTTCTTAGCCCACCAAGGGGGCCCAGGACACTGAGCAGAGGAAATGCATGGCTCTGGCCCCGGGAGGCACAGCATACCTTGCAGGAAAGGTGGCAGCATTGGCACTGTGGTGGGCTCCATGCAGGAGGAGCCCATAACCAGGCACGGTGGCAGGCCGGGCACACCAAACAAGGGGCAGGGGACAATAGCCTGGCACCCAGGGATGGCAGAACCTCAGACCCAGAGCTTTGGCACTGGTCCTGGCTCAGCCAGCAGGCCTGAACCAGCTGAGGGTTCACCCTGTCTATCCGGGTGGGTTCTAGGGTGAAAAAGCCCCTCGCCCCCCTGCCCCCCAGGCTGCGGACGCTGGGAACTCTGGTGATGGGGCTGGGGCCAGGGGGGCAGGGGGGCAGAGTCTCAGCCCCATGTGAGGGGCTGCCTCCCCAGCTTTCTTCTAGGTGTGCTCTGTGGCCCTTGAAGGGAGCAGTCTCTCTGGATCCCCATTTCCCCATCCATAGCATTACCTCCAGGGACCAAGGAGGCCCAAAGGAGGCAATTAATGAATCAAAAGAGTTTTCTGAGGAGTACTCCTGGGAGGGAAGGGGATCAGCCCTGTTCCACGGTTCCGGGTGGGTTTCCTGCCCAGGACATACTAATCTTCGAGGTGGCCTTGGTCAGGTCACTTTCCCTCTCTGAACCCGTTTCCTCGCCTGTGAAATACGGGGAACGAGCACCCAACCCCGTATCCCGATTGCCAGCATGGCCTTTGGGACGGCAGAGGAGCGCGGAGCTGATGTAGAGCAGGAAACTGAGGGTTGTCCTGGGCGTCAGGAGTCCTAGGTTTGAGTCCCAGCTGCTGCTGTCCCTGATGAGGAGGCTTCCTCGTTTGGGCCTCGGTTTCCCCCGCTGGATCCAGGCCCTGAATCTCTGCTCTCACTGGACCTCATTTCCTCCTCCCCGTTGCCCCCCCCAACCCCAGAGTAGTGACTCATCCCTCATCATCGCGCTGTGTGGCCAAGGCTCAGCCTGGGTGGGGACCAGCAAGGTTGAGAGAGCTCAGAGGAAACCACAGGCTTCACCCAGCTGGCAGGTGGCAGGCGGGCAGGCGGGCAGGGATCCATGGCCACGGGGGCCTTGTCCATAAACACGTCTCCCACCACGAGCCCAGCCAGGCTCCCCAGCCCCGCCAGCCCTGACTGAGAACCCTGCCGAGCTCTGAGCCCAGAGTCACCTGCTCCCGGGGAACCTGCTACTACAGGGCTCTGCACCCACCTGCTAGGCAAGGGCAGCAGTGTTGGTGAGGACTCTGGCCTCACCCACCAGGACAACGTCCACAGAGGCAGGGGAGGGAGGGGATGAACGGTCACGGTCTGTGAGCAAGTCCAAGATGCTCAGGAGGCAGGTAGTGTAGCAGCTAAGGGCATGGGCTCTGGGCCTAGATTGGGTACAAATCCTGGCTCTGCCACTATATGACCCTGAGCGAGTGACTGACCCTCCCTGAAGTCTGGCTTTCCCATCTGAGAAACGGACACATAACAATGCCTACCGTGCAGTGTCACTGTGAGCGGCTGATGAGGTCCTGAACACCCAGCACGACACATGTGAACTGCTGTGGCTACAATTCCTGCTGGAATCGACAGATACGACCCCCGCACCCCCGCACCCCTGCCACCCCAGCAGGTAGACCAGCTGCCCGGCTTAGTCAGTCCCACCTCTGACTCAAAGTCCTGCTTTACCTCCCCCACTCCCAGCAGGTGGAGCCCCTCCTCTGCAGTGCAGGCCTACAGTCAGGTGGGCTGTGGCCCCGCCCAGAAGAGCCCTCTCCCGAGGCCCCCTGGGAGACCACCAGCACTGCAGGCCCAGCAAAGACTCTGCTCTCTGCTCACGCCTTGCTCTGGTGAGAAGCAGGGTCGGCTCAGCAGCAGACCCCCGCTCTGGGAGACAGAAGAGTCCACTCCAAGCCCCAGAGTCTGACTTGTTGAGTAGTCTTCAGGTTTCTTCCCTCCTATGAGCCTTAGTCTCCCCCTCTGTGAAGAGTGAGTCAATATACACACAAATACCAACATAAAGCCTAACTCACAGTAGTCACCCAATAAATGTGAGCTGGTGCTGTGACCTCCCTCTCACAGATGAGGAAACTGAGGCACAAGGGAAGGAAGCCACTTGCCCACGTCATGTGCTGGGCAGTCTGTCTGGCTCCTGAGGCTGTGCTGGTGACCACTACACTGCGAACCAACAGATGTCCTTAGGGTGCCCGGCACACGGCGGTTGTCAATGTACAGGGGTCGTCCGTGCCTTCCCCTAAGTGAATGCAGAGGGAAGGAGGCCACATCCAACCTGTACATTTATTTACAAGGCACAAGCTGAGAGCAGGTTGGGGGCCACCCCACGGCCTTCCCACTCCTCCTGGGCCTGCTGACCCTACCCTCTGAGGCCCAAGGGTGACCATACCCCCTGGCATGGGGGCCTAGAATGGCTGGGATGAGCCGGCTTGGCCCTCTAGCTAGCTCAAGGGTGGTCTCCCGTGTCCCCCAGGCCCCTCCCCACCCCCTCCGCCAGGCCTGGGCCGGGCGTCCTCTCTCTCACACGGAGTTCCTGTGTGTTGGTGGTCGGCAAGGAAGGTGGGCGGGAGTGGGACCTGGCCAGATGGTGTGTGCTGGGCCTTATCTGTTGGGTGTGGGGAGGTGGGCAGGGCATGAAGATCCTTCTTCACAAAGCCTGCTCTGTCTCCCCAGCAGCTGGGCCTCAGGAATCGGCTTTGTTGCCTTCCTGCCCCACCAAGAGCCTCCCATCCACAGCCACAGGAGCCCCCCACACTGGGACCCCGAGCCCTCCTACTTCAGCTAGGAGCGAGCCCGGGCCAGGGATGCCCAGGTGGGGCCGAGCAGGGCAGGGCAGTGGTTCCAAGAGGAGGGAGCCAGGGAGGGACCGACAGGCCCGTGGTGTCTGGACTGCGGCCAAAGGGCCGGAGCCCCGTCTGGGCAGGCGTTAGCAGGATGGATTCAGACCTCATCCGAGGTGGCTGTCATCGGGGAAGCAGTCACTGCGTGGGGGCGCAGGGAGCCCCGAGCCTCCCAGCCTGGTGCAGCCTTGTCCTGGCCAGCCCAGCCTGGGGTCTGGCCCATCTGCTCCGGCCTTCTGGGCTGTGCGGCCTCAGCCCTGGCCACTGTGCAGCTGCATCCAGGCCTCAGCCGCTCCTGGGGCTCAGACCCCCAGTGCCATCAGTGCCCCCGAGCTGCTGATCTTCTTGAAGCGATTGGCAGCGCTGACAGCAATGAAGTTTTTCTGGGGGAGGAGGGAGAGGGGCCCCAGTCAGCATCAGGGCAGGGGAAGGGCCATGGGGCAGCTGAGTGTCTCCTCAAGTCCCCTTTACTGCAGGAGGGCCAGGTGCCAGGGAGGGTGCGGTACTCAACATGGCCACAGGAGTCCGTTCTTCATTCAGCAGATTTGTCTGCCAGACTATGGGTCTGCTCAAGGTGCTCCAAGTAAAAGACAAACCCTTCGCCGTGGCCAGTGAGTCCCGCCACACCCTCCCTCCCGCTCTTCTTTGAGCTCGTCTCCCCCACCCCACCCCCTTGGTCCTTCTGCTGCATCCATGCTGGTTTCCTGCCTGTTCCTCACATGTCCAATCACGCTTCTGCCTCGGGGCCTTTGCACTGGCTGTTCCCTCTGCCCGGGGCACTCTTCCCCTGTTACCACTCTGTTTACCCCTCAGCTCTTTCAGGTCTTCGTTCACACTCTTCTTCTTAAGGAGTCCGCCCTGACCACTTGCTTAGAAGTGCGACCTCTCTCTGGCATTCCTGACTCTCCTTATTTTTCCTAGGGCCCTTCCTTACCTTCTTACTATCGCCAGCCCCACCTCCGCCCAAAAGTAAATCCACAAAGACTGAACCTCTTGTCTCTTTTATCCACTGGTATATCCCCAGTGCATGGAAGTAGTAGAGGCTCAATAAATATTTGTGAAATGAAGGAAGGAAGCCTGTGATGAGGTCGGAGACCTTTTCCTGAGCCCGAGCCCCAGATGGACACCCCTCCTCGGGGTGGAGGGCCCGCAGCCAGCCCAGGACAAAGAGAGAAAAGCCAGCCCTGTTTTCCAGATGGGGCGAGGCCTGGTCCACAGAACCTGCCAAGGCAGGGCTGGTGGGGCCTGGGAGCCGGTGCCAGGAGCTCTTCCTGCCTTGCAGCCCCTCCCTCCCTCACCCCAGCCCCACAGTACCTTCCAGCGTCTCTTCATGAGGTATTTCTTAAGCAAGATCTGGGACTTGAGGCGTCGATTACAGCGCTTGGCTTTCTCCGCCAGGTTGTTGAGCCAGGGGTGGGCGAGGCACTGGGCGGCGCTCATACGGGCCCTGTGGGGTGTGGGGGGGCAGCATGGCGAGGGTGGGTGGCAAGCCTACACAGCAGCAGAGCCCAGCGGGCCTTCCCGCAGTTCCCACCCGGCCTGCACACACGCGCACTGGGCCTGCACACAGGGGGTCCACATCCTGTGGTGAGCCTCACCCCTGGTCCTTGACGATGAGGTTGGAGACGAAGTCTTTGGCCTCATCTGACACAGCCTCGAAGGTCTCCTCGTCAAAGTACCAGTTGCCAGACAGAACATTGTTCAGGGTCTCTGTGTCATCATCTCCCAGGAAGGGGGAGAGGCCACTCAGCCTGGAGGAAGGGGGTGACAGGGGGCAGGAAAGTGAGATTAGAAAGTCACCTTTGAGGGTTTGGGGGGTGGGGGAGATCCTAGGAGGCAGCACCAGGTGCTGTAAAGACCCCCAGCTTCTCAAGTGGGACAGACCTGAGTTTGAATCTGGCTGCGTGACCTTGGGCAAGTCACTTCCCCTCTCTGAGCCTCACTCTTCTCATCTGTAAAATGGGCATAATCATCCCAGCTTCCCAAGGTACAGTGAAGAAGAGGAATGGTGAGTGCACAAAGAAATGGCCCCTATCCCTCTGCCCCCACCCTGGGTCATCAGAGATCTGCTGCCCAGAGCCCTGGGCTGGGACACTATACCTTTAGGGGCCTTGGTTTCTCCATGTGTAAAATGGGTACAAGGTTCCTCTTTCCTAGTTCTCCCTAGCACTCCCAACCCCCAGCAAACCCGTGACTGAGTGAATGGGGCAGTGGGACCACCTCACCGGGACCCCAAGGCCAGTCTTAGCTTCAGCTGCCCACCCAGGTGCCCCAATCCCAGGAACACTGTTCCCTCGGGGCTCACAGCATGTAGGTGATGACCCCCAGACTCCACATGTCTGTCTTGTCGGAGATTTGGTCATAATTCACCACCTCAGGTGACAGGAACTCTGGGGTCCCAAAATTCACCTTCAGCTTCTCGTTGGGGTTATACCTGCGGGTGAGACCAAACGCTCAGAGCACAGCTCCCAGCCCATTCCCAGGCGCCCTCCACCCCTCCTTTGCCCTCTGCCCTCCTCCCCACTCAGGTGGTACCTCCGTGCCAGGCCGAAGTCAATGATCTTCACCAAGTGGCCCGTGGTGTTGACACACAGGATGTTCTCTGGCTGAGGAGAAGGGGTGGCCTGGATTGGCCTCTGACCTGGCTCACCCTCCCTCCCCAGCCAGGGCCACCTAAGCCCCAGGTACAGCCGGAAGCCCAGGCTGCCAGAATTGGCAACCCATCCCAGACCCCCAGGCCCACCTGCTCCAGGCACAGATGTGGAACCTGAGGGCCTGAGAGCGGCTCAGCTGAGGCCTTGCAGCCCAAGGCTTCCAGATGGGTGCAGGTGGTGCTTTCCTTCATGTAAGGCCATGAAAGAACCACAGAGTTCTGGCAAGTCTGGGGGTGGAGTGACGGGGGCCCTCGGGGCAGAGCTGTGCCCAGGAGAGAGGCCAGTTCAGGGCCACCACCGGGCACGTGGAGGCCCAGAGACCATGGGAAGAGCCCATCAGCTCGGGGCCCCCAGAGGAAGCCTCTCAGGCACAGAGGGGGCTTGTTCTAAGATGTGCTACTCTTGTGTCCCCGTTTAGGGGTGATGACATCACCAACAAAATGTCAGGCCCCGTGTCGGTCACTGTCCACACGTTAGCTCGCCAGTCCCCCCAAGCACTCTGTGAGGCAGAGCCTTTCACTTTGCATCCCCATTTCACAGTTGAGAAAAAGAGGCTCAGACACAGAAGTGACTTGGCCACAGTCACCTAACAGGTGACGGAGCCAGGACTTGACCCCAGGACTGTCAGCCCCAGCGCTGATCTCTTGATATCACTCTTTCCGCCGCCAGCCAGCCAACAGCCACCCCAGTGCACTCTGCGGGGTGGGGGCCGGCAGACAGAATGCCAGAGGGTCGGTTCTTCCAGGGCAAGGATGGTCCTCTCTGGGCCGCTTGCTGCCCACCCTCACAGTATATTAACAAAGACACCCGTAGGGGCTCAGCCATGGCTCCCAGAATCCTGCACTCCGGGCCCAGATGAGCATGTGAAGGAAGCTACTTCAAGGCTAGCCCCTCCCCATTCTGGGTCTCCATCTCCTCTTCACGTAACACAAGGACACAGGATGAATCTGGGGTTATATATAGGGCAGGAATACGTTAAGTAGTTCACCATGGTGATAAGGCAGGAGATTTTGCCCAAAAACCCTAATTTCCTGATTTTTGGCACCTCCTGAAACAGCCAAAGCCCCAGCCACACAGCCACGCACGGCCTAACTGAGCTGCTGCTGACCTCGGAGTCGGGGAGTCCTCCTGCTCCCTGGGGCCCCCACCCTTTAACCCGGTTCTGTTATTCATCTGGGCTGTGTGGGCACTTGACTGTCAGCCCCTAATGACACACTTCCTGAGGGCCCTTTTCCCACCGGTGCCTTCGTTACAGCAGGACACCGATGACTTCAATAGCCGGACCTGGTGTCCCACCAAAACAGGGGAAGAAAAGAAAGGTCCGAGGACAATCAGCTAGGAAAACGACACAGACTTAGATCTCTGTTTGGAGGATGTGAGACTTTCTGAGAAGCCCCGGCCTGGAAAATGATTCACCTAACTTACTTGACCATGAAGCCATTCTTTTTTTTTTTTTTAATGGAAAACTATTGTTATTCTGAAAGAAGCCCATTTTGGGATACAGAGGCTTAAAGCTTAGTTTCTTCCTGGGGCATGGCATTTTCCTTGGGGACCCTGCTCCACTCCCCCCAAAATTAGCTTTCCCCGGGGAACGGGAAGCCTCCAATGACATGGTGCTGTCAGGAAATTCAGGGGTCACCTTTACTCTTTCCTTCCCTCCCCTCCTCCCACCGCCACCCAAACCACCAGCAAATCCAAATGGCTCTATTTTCAGGTTGCACCCATCACCTGGCTACTTCCCATCCCTCACTGCCACTCGCTCCAGCCCCACCATCTCTCTCCTGGCTTAATTCAACAGCCTCCTAAATTCCTTTCGCCATGTTGGCCCCATTGAAATCCATCTCCTTATGTCCTTTCTTCCTCCCTTATCAGTGGGGATGATAACAGGACAGCTGACCCACCTGTCAGCTGGTGGGAGGGGTAGGCACCTGGCCAGGAGGGCTGTGAGCTGACCCCTAACGACAGGGGATGGGTGCAGCCAGCCCCAGCAGCAGCTCCCCGGCCAGCTCCAGCCCTCGAATGCTCGGGCCTTTACCCACTTCTTTGATCTCACCTTGCCTGTCTTCCCACTACTCATGGGCTTTTTCATAATGCTTTTGATGGTGTCAAATGATCTACTTATTGGGTCATTATTTTATGGATGTCTGTTTCCCTGACGAGTTTGCAGGCTCCACGGGGCAGGGAATGTCCTTCCTCATCCCGACGGTAACGCCCACATCTCACGCGGTGCACAGCGGCGCACTAGCAGGTGCTCAGCAGGTATTTATCAAACAAACGTGCAAGTACTGTCCACCTTGCTGACTTGTATAACCCACCTCGGAGGGCACCTTCCACCTCTGCTCCCCTGGCCACATGCCCCACAAACACTAACACCTGCCGGAAGAACAGGGACTGGCTGGCGCTCCTGTTGCCCCTGTCTGCTCCGTGCCACCACCGTCACTCAGCTCCGGGGAGCCACGACCAGCTGATCGTAAAATCCATCGCTTCTCCTAACCTGCTCTGGGCAAGGTGCCGAGCAAGGCCAGAAGAGGATTGTAAATATTCTTTCATGACCATTTTTGTTGGTGTCTACTCTGTGTACTGCTGCACGGACACTACACTTACTGATTCGTTTTTCTGACTCCCCTTCTAGAACGGAAGCTTCACGAGGGCAGGCATTTTGATCTGTTAGGCTCACTGCTGGATCTCCACCAGCTAGAACACTGCCTGGCACGGGCAGGCCCTCGACAAATACTTTGAGTAAATAAGCAGGCAGGCACCATGTCTCTCAGGGCCCAGCACAGAGGGAGGTGCTTTGCAACACCTATTAGTGAGTTCTGTGAGAGGCACTGAGCTTGGAGTTCACAGGGCTGCAGAAGACACTTTCAACAAGTACCTAGAATTAGACTGGAAGCTCCAAAGAGCGAGGACCAAGTCTTTTGTTTGTTTTCTGTCTTACTCTCCACTCCTGGTACTTAGTAAGTGTCCAATACACCCTTTTTGAGTCCACGGGTGGAAGGATGGATGGAGGAAGAGAAGAAAGGGTGGGAGAAGGGTTACAGCACTGATTTCAAGTGGTCAGATGCTGTTCCTGACCCCTCCCAGGAGGCCCCAGCCCCCATACCTTGAGGTCCAGGTGCAGAACCCGCATCTTATGCATGAAGAGGATCCCGTCGCAGATCTGCCTGACAAACACCATGGTATCCACCTCGGTCAGCTGATAGTCCTCATCCACAATCCTCTCGAAGAGCTCGCCGCCCTCGATGCTGCGTGCACAGACCCCTCTACAGGCTGCTTCCGGGCCTCTGGCACCCCACCCGGCCCCCTGCCCCCACTGCTGGCACTCACTACTCCAAGAACAGGACGATGTCCTGTGGCGTCTCAATGGCTGCGTACAGCTGGATCAGATTGCGGTGGTTCAGCTGGTTCATAACCTCGATCTCGAGCTTCACCATTTCCTGGGGGCCAAGGAGGTCGGGGGTACCATCCAAGAGTGATCACTCCCTGCCCTCCACTCTCCATACCTGCGCCCTGACCGGACCTTGCCTGGACCACTGCCCGGCCTTCTCCTTGCTGGCCTCCGTGGCTCCCATCTCTCCCCACCCACAAACCTGTGTCCTCGCCAACCCCTATCCTTCCTGTTGGGACACCATTCCTTTCGGGTTCCTCTCCTGATGGAATACCAGTATCCTGAGGGCTCAGTCCTCGCAGCTCATCCCTCCCCTCCCTACACTTTCTCCTTGGGCATTCTCCTGAAGCCCCATGACTAGATAATTCCACCCAAATGTTCTAGCTCTGCAAATACACACCTGCACCTCCGAGCCCTCCTGTGAACTCAGCGTACCCATGTCTCCAACTGCCCGGACACCATTTCCCTTGGATGTCTACTAGGCATCTCCAACCTATTATGTCCAAAGTTAAGCCCCTGATATCACCCCTGCCCCACAATTGGGTTGCCCTCAGCTTGCCCATTAGCAATAGGACCTCACTCTTCGCCCAGGCATGCAGGACTAAACGTTAGGAGCTATTCCAGATTCTTCCCTTAATCTTGCTTCCTCACACCCCACATCCAATCCATCACTAAATCTTCAGACTCTATGTTCAAATTAGATTTCAAATCCAGGAGTTTGGCACCTCCTCCACCACTGCCTTCCCAGCCTACGCCACCATCATTTGTCACTTTGAGAAATCTCTCAAGCCAGTTGTCGCATTGGTAGTCTGAAATCAGCTATGGTAGAAATATTTACACCACGGAAATCGGCGAACACTGCCAATCAGGCCTCTCCCTGCGCTGTCCCCCGGAATATCGCATTGCCGCCCAAGTTGCTGCGCCTCTCTCATTTTCCCGTTCCTCCACTCAGAGCTCATCTTACCTACATTCATTCCTCAGGGAGGCCTCACCTCGCCCACCTGAATCAGCTCCACACTCCCTGTTTCTTAGCTGCCTTCATTTTTCCCCCTAGCCCTTCTCAGTTCTGGACACCCTGCTTTCTGTTGCATTTTGCTTTCTAGTTGTCTGTTTCTCTGCTCCAGCATGGCAACCCATAAGGGCAGGGACTTGTTTAGTTCACTGTCATTTCCCTTGCACGGTGAATGGCATGAAAAAAAATTGCTGGATAATTAATTAATCAATAGCTGCCTCCAATTCTTTCACACGGCACATATGGACTGAGCATCTACGCTGAGCCAGGTCCAGGATAGAGGCCTGGGGACTCAGCAGTTAATGACATGGACCAGGCCCGTCAAGGGGAAGAGACAGAGTCACAAAGCATGCACCTTCCAACGGTGTGGGGAGCTAGACAGGGTGTTCAGGGCTGCGGCACTCAGAGCTGCTTCTCATACTCATCCTGGGCTCTGGGCCTCTGCGTGCTGTGCCCTCTGCCTGGAATGCCCGTAACCTCACTCCCTTCTCCTCCTGCCTCGACTCAAGGCTCCCCAGCAGTCACCTGCTATTTCCGGCGCTCAGGCCCCTCCTCCCACAGTCCCTCCTTCCTCATAGACTTCATTAAGGAGACAGCCAGTCCAGGAAGCTTCTCTGACCCCATGGGCCAAAACAGGGACCTCCTCTGCCCCCTCCTCACCATGCCTGCCCTGGCCTAACTTTGCCCAGTTACAGCTCTCGCCTCACCAGGTGGCTGAGTCGTCCTCACCTCCTTACCCCTGACTCCCTCACTCCATGTGAGCTCGCTCCTTTCCCTCCCTCCTTCCTTCCTTCCCTTCCTTCCTTCCTTCCTTCCTTCCTTCCTTCCTTCCTTTCTTCTTCCCTTCCTTCTTCCCTTCCTTCTTTCCCAAGCTCTGCTCTCAGCCTCCACTGAACTGGGCCTGAGCTGGGTGCTGGAGGCAGAGCTCTAGACCAGGCCTGTTACCCATGGTGTTCCCCGCAGGCAGGGACCACATTTGCTCCACTTCCGGACCCCGCTGTCCCCCCCAGGGCCTGGCCCGGAGCCTGCACGTATCAGCATTTGTGGACTTGAACAAAGCAGAGGGCATGGCTGTCCTGTGCCCAGAAGGGGAAGTCCCAGGATGAGTTCACTCATGGAGGCATCTGGTTCACACTTAGGGGCATCAGGCCCCAGTGGCAGGGCTATCCGTCTGTCCATCTAGACAGACACGTGGGTAGAGGGGGGTGAGAGGCTCTCCTACTCCAAGACCCGCCCCTTTCACACAGCAAGCCCCCACCCCTACTACCTTGTCTTTGGGTGTCTGTTTCTTGATGACCTTGGCTGCCAACTTGAGGCCCGTGGCTTTCTCTGTGCAGGTGCAGACCGCTCCAAACTTGCCCCTGGAGAGAGAAAAGGCTGGGAGTGAGGGGGTCCCCAGGGACAAGGGCTGAGGGAGGCCTACACTCTGCACCCATCTGGGTCCCCACCACAAGATGGGGACACTCGCCCCAGCCAGCCCCAACTCCCCTGTAAAGCTCTACTGTGAGGACAATGTCTGAACTACAGAAACTGGGGACACGGAAAGGGCAGGCTGATCTGAAGGGTGGCCTCTGATGTGACAACTCACAGGCTTGTGGCAGACAGGGGCCCGGGGCTCTGGGCCCCGGAGGAGGAGCCCTTCGGTGCCTTCTACAAGGCAGGAATGACCGTGGGAGGGTCAGGGTGGGGCCTGTGACCGAGGGAGACAGGAAGACACTGTGTGCTCCCTGCAGAAAATACCGAACGACTGAGGTGTCCGTGTGAGTGACAGTGACATCATCAGACATCAGCAACACGAGAGCGTGCAGATGACAGGTGCAGCCACCAGAAGCAATTGTGTCCACGTGGGTCACGGCCAGTGGGGTGTGGTGGGGCCTCGCACAGGGAAGATGTGAAGCCCCAGGGGGTTTGATGCTCTTCGGGGGCTCAGGGTCCCCGAGCTCACCCGCCCAGCGCATCCTTGGAGTTCATGGTGAATTGACTGTTGACATTCCCCGTCCTCAGCTCCACAATGCGGTGGGGGAAGGGGGCCGGGGGTGGTGGGCAATCGTCTGGAGCAGAGCAGAGCCATTAGTCAGTGCCAGGGGCTGCTGAGGATCCACCCTGGTACCACCCCGCTCCTCCTGGCTTGGGCCCAAACAGGGAAGTGCACTGAGCAATACCTAGGGGACAGCTTGTCTCCAGGACAGGGGCCTGGGGACCCAGTTTCCAATTTCAGCTCTGCCACCAACATGCACAATGCCTCTGATGGAGGGAGGCTCAGCCTCTCCCCGCACAGAAATGGGCATGGCGGATTAGACCACTCACACCCTCCCCAGCTGCCTGCACTTCCCTTGAAAGAACAGCTACAGTGGTGGAGTGCCAGCTAGGGGTCACTATGTCTGATGGGGTAGGTGATGGGATGTGCCTACCATCCCCTCAGATGTCACCAAAAACTGGCCTGTGGAATGGGCGTCTAAGCTGTGCAGGGCCCAGCGGATGAGGGAGAGCGGGCAGGGACGGAGCGGGAGGAAGGAAGGGACCGAGTTCGGTAGGGAGAGGCTGCCACCTAGTGACATCCACCGGGAACGGGGCCCTGGAGGCCGACAGGCTGAATCGTAGGGAACGGAAACCTCTTTATAAATAGCAAGAGGTGGCAGGGAAGCCGAGCTGGTGATAAATCAGACGGCCCTTGGAGGTTGTTCAGGTCCCGTCACCCTGAGGATGTGATTTCAGGGCGGGGCGGAGGTCTCGGCCGAGGCTCGGGGAAGGAGGCAGGACTCCTGGCTGCCGCCCAGCCGCCAGGCCCTCCCACCCTGTCTGGGTGGCACTGTGCCGCTCACTAGGCAGGCTGGCGGGTCTCCCAGGGCACCTCGGCCCTGAGCGGGGGTGTCAGGACACTCTGGGCTCTCCTGACCCCAACTCACCCCACCCCCAGCCTCACCACACCTTTGCCCAGGCCTATTCACCTACTCGCCAAGCTCACGCATGCTCAGAGGCTCCTTGCTGTCTGCTGAATAAACCACCCGCTCCGAGTCTGATGATTAGTTAATCCATGCCCCAGTCCTGCCTCGTCTCACATGCCCAGCTTCCCTGGTCACTGCTTCCACACAGAAACCAGTGCTCCTCAGCTCACGAATCCTCTGTGGCTCCCATGACCCTCCCCACCCCGTCCAGGATGTAGTTTAACTACCAAAGCCTGGCATTTTAGTTCTTCTACTACTGACTTAAGATTCCACTGTCCGGAGAGTTGGTACAAAGTCCCATTTTAGCCAAAATAAAAGAAAGCAAAAGTGAGCTCTGGAGTCAGGTCATCCTGACAGTAGCTATGGATTTTGCAGTACCTACTCCATTTCCTTTCTCTGAGCCTATTTCCCCATCAATCAAACGGGACTAGACGCTCCTGCTTTCCAGAGCCCAACAGCACTAAGATAAATCGGCCTGGGTGAGACATGGCTCAGAGCGGTTCCGCCTCTAAACTAATGAGAGTTGGGGAACCCCCTTCCCTCCTCCCTGGCCCACAGGCAGCCCCGGCCCATGCCTGCCCCTGGCCTACCCAAAATCTGGAAGCAGTCCTCCTCCCTGGCTGTGGGACAGAAGGCCTGCCCCACCTCCGATCTCTCCGGGGACACAGCCTGGAACTCGATCCCCCTCGAGGTGTCCCCTTGCACCTTGGCCTGGCCAGCCTGGCCTGAAGCCTTCTCTCCTGCTTCCTCCTGGCTGCCTCCCAGGATGTTTTTCCCTTCTTCTGCTTCCCTGGCTGGTTCGGGATCCGTGGGGCCGGGGGTTATGGGCACCCCTTCAAAAATGAGCTCCGATGCCTCATTTGGGGGCTTCTCGGCCAGCAGCTCCTCAGGGCTAGAAGGAGAGAACACAGAGGTGATGCCCTCAGCAGCCGCGGCCCCATGGCGGCCTCCGGCAGGACTTCCTCCTTGCAAAGCCTTGTCTGCTCCCTGAAGCTGATGTAACCCTGCCCCTTCCCCAGCCCCCCGTGCATGGGGTAATGCATCTGAATCCACTTTATACAAAATTAAGGGATGTTAATATTTCCATAAATGACCGTGATCATTATCTTGACTATCAACACACTAATCGATCATTAATAACTATTAATGAGATTGTTGATATAGTTCATCATTATGTGGATATAATTAGGGAGATTACATAGCTCTTGATTCATAAAAACTGTGGCAATGCAATTGATATTAATATAAAATTTAAATTGATATGGTGTTATTATTGTGGTTTACAATACATCATTAATGACCTCATTAATATCATTAACATTCAGGTAAGTGTAATTGATTGCATCATAAGACTGAAACTTTATTATAAAAAAGTATTAGTAAGTTATGAAAGTATTAGTAAGGATCTACCAATCTAGTTAGATCTAGATGACTAATGTTATTAGTCATCTTTCCATGTTATACTGATAATTATACTAAGAAGAGAGATTATCCTTTCCTCTTGACATCTCGGCTCCACCCTGGGTGGACCCAATGATCCCCAGGACAGAGGAGCTCAACGAGACCCCTGGGGACAGAGCCCAGGACCCCTCCCCGCTCCCAGGCAGGGGGCATTCACCTGGAGATGACGGCGGGGCAGCTGGGGCTGTGTGAAAAGGCGGGTAAGCCACTCTTGGCCCCTGCTCGGCCCTCTGCCGCCTTCTTTCCCGCCTTGGGCTCTCCGGGATCCTGGCTGCCCGAGGTCCCCTGATTGTCGTCCTCGTTGGGCTTCTTGACACCGGCCCCCACTTCTGGAGTCTGGGTCTGCTGGGGCAGGGCTGCCGGCTGCCCCACACTGCCTTCCGCAGGACACTCACCCAAGTCGCCTTCTCCCTCGGGGCCCTGGCTGCCAGTTGAGGGTTGGGCTGGGGCATCATCCCCTCTCTCTGAGGCAGGGACTTTGTCACCTTTCTTCAGGGTGGGTAGACCAGGTTCTTTCTTTGGGTCTGGGGGGCCAGGTTCCTTCTTTGGGTCTGGGGGGCCAGGTTCCTTCTTTGGGTCTGGGGGGCCAGGTTCCTTCTTTGGGTCTGGGGGGCCAGTTTGCTTTTTTGGGTCTGGGGGGCCAGTTTGCTTTTTTGGGTCTGGGGGGCCAGGTTCTTTCTTTGAGTCTGGGGGACCAGGTTCCTTCTTTGGGTCTGGGGGGCCAGGTTCTTTCTTTGAATCTGGGGGGCCAGGTTCCTTCTTTGAATCTGGGGGGCCAGGTTCCTTGTTTGGATCTGGGGGGCCAGTTTCTTTCTTTGGGTCTGGGGGGCCAGGTTCCTTCTTTGATTTTGGAGGGCCAGGTTCCTTCTTTGGATCTGGGGGGCCAGGTTCTTTCTTTGAATCTGGGGGGCCAGGTTCCTTCTTTGGATCTGGGGGGCCAGGTTCCTTCTTTGGGTCTGGGGGGCCAGGTTCCTTCTTTGAATCTGGGGGGCCAGGTTCCTTGTTTGAATCTGGGGGGCCAGGTTCCTTGTTTGGATCTGGGGGGCCAGTTTCTTTCTTTGGGTCTGGGGGGCCAGGTTCCTTCTTTGATTTTGGGGGGCCAGGTTCCTTCTTTGAATCTCGGGGGCCAGGTTCCTTCTTTGAATCTGGGGGGCCAGGTTCCTTGTTTGGATCTGGGGGGCCAGTTTCTTTCTTTGGGTCTGGGGGGCCAGGTTCCTTCTTTGATTTTGGGGGGCCAGTTTCTTTCTTTGAATCTGGGGGGCCAGGTTCCTTCTTTGGGTCTGGGAGGCCAGGTTCCTTCTTTGATTTGGGGGGGCCAGGTTCCTTCTTTGAATCTGGGGGTCCAGGTTCCTTCTTTGGGTCTGGAGGGCCAGTTTGCTTTTTTGGGTCTGGGGGGCCAGGTTCCTTCTTTGAATCTAGGGGACCAGGTTCTTTCTTTGGATCTAGGGGAGTAGGTTCATTATTTGGATCTGGGGGGCCAGGTTCCTTCTTTGGGTCTGGGGGGCCAGTTTTCTTCTGTGGGTCTAGGGAGCCAGGTTCCTTCTGTGGGTCTGGGAGGCCAGGATCTTTCTCTGTAGCCGGGGGTCCTTCACCTGCTGCACCTTGAGGTGCCTTGTCTGTAGAGGAGGTGAGATACCCATCAGGATTCACCCCCCTCTCCCTCTTTTCCCAGCCAGGCTGGCCAGAGACTGGCTCTGGGTCCAGGCCCCCACCAAGGCAACGGTTTGCAAATGCTGGTTCCACAGAGCCTCCGGAGCCACTCAGTGGGCTCTAGAGATGGGCTGCTAGGACCGCAGAGGCCTGCACGGGGCTTCTGGTCCCCCGGTGGGCCTGGATGCCCCGCCATCTGTTGCCCTGTGCTTAGCTGTCCATGGGAGCTTGACATTTTCCTAGTCTCTCTGGGAAGGAATTCACATAGGCTCTTGATCCAGCCCAGTCCTACCCAGAGAGAATTCTGATTTCTGAGTCCCCTATGCACCACACAAGGAGGCTAGGGCATGAAACTACCACTGAGGAACCAGCCCAAAGTTGTAGTCAAACACCCAACCTCCTCCCCCGTCTCCTGGCCCAGCTCGGCACCTGTTGATGAACTCTGGATTCCCAGCTCAACTGCTCCGTTTTCTGTCGCCATGAGGCAGGGAGGCGTATGCTTCTGCTTGTCTAACTCAAGTCTTGCTAGCTGCAGAAAGAAGCATGAGGTGTATCAGGCCGTCGGATTCCTCCTCTTGTCGGGTCGAAAGGAAGCCGGGGCCAGCTGACTGAGGGGAGAGAGGTACCTGAAGCAGAGAGGGGCAACCTGGTAGCTGTCTGTTGTGCAGCGGCTTCCCCGGAGCGGTCCTGGGGCAGTTGTAAGGGACTGGGCCGGGTGGGCAGAGGCGGAGGCAGGGGCGCCCACAGGGGAGGCGGGGACGGAGGAGAGGATCTCTTACACCAGGGGCCATGCAGCTCGGACTGCCACCACCTGTCACTCTTGGCCCCCATTCAGAGGACACAGCATTCTTCCCACGGACTGACTGGGGGGAGAGTGGTGTTGGAACGGGCAGGAAGAGAAAAAGGAGGGGTACCTGGGGCCCCAGGGGAACAACCTTCTCTCAGGCTTTGGCCTGAACCGGATCAGGGGCGGGGGCCTGGCGGAAGAGGGACTCTCAGGCAGTGCTAAAGGGCAAGGCTATGCCCAGGCTGGGCCCTGGCTCTACCCACCTGAGTGCCTGGGATCCCCTAGGTCCCCAAGAACCTGGTTAGAGCCACACAGGCCCAGAATAATTGCCCCGACCCCAGCGCCCAGCTCTGTGCCCATGAACCCCGCCCCTGGCAATCAGACCTACCTGGAGCATCTCTGGGCAAGAAATTGCCGCAGGGGCACTTGCCCAGTAAGCCCACGGGCCTGAAAGCCCTCTCTTTGGAAAATGTCTTTTTTTTTCTTGGGCTCCTGGGGAGGTGGAAGTTGTCCCAAGTGGCTGTGGGAGATGGTCAGTGCTCAGGGCCCCCACCCCCAGCTGCCCCCGGTCTCGCCAATGGCTCACCTGGAAGGAGGGGGCTGATGGACAGTCTTTTCCAAGGGTCTTCCCCTGAAGGGGTGCCCTCGGGGGCCGCTCCAGCCTGAGGTGTTCTGACCAAGATGGGGTGGGGTGAGGTATGATCCAAGGGGTCTCCCATCACCCAGGCACTGTCTGCCCCCAGCCTTTCTCTGAAGGGAACTTGAGAACTAGCCGAGCTGTGTGCATTGGAAATAGCTCTGGAGTGGGCGTCTGGGTTCAGGTCCTGACTGTGGCGAGCTTCAGCCCCTCTGTAAATGGTGGAGACACCCCCTGCCCTTGGATGGAACAGGGCGGGGGTGACCTGAGGATACAGCACGTCTAAGCAATGGGAAACTACATCTCAGCTGTAAAAGAGGGTGAGGAATCTGTGAATGAACTGATAGGAAGGAAGCAACCTCCAAAGCAGGGAAAAAAAAAAAAAGCCAGGTGCAGAGTAACATGCAGAAAAAGCTATCATTTGGGGGCAAGGGAGTAAAATATATAATATTTAAGGAAATTGTATATGTAATGACATATACATTTTCACTCTGTGCACGTAACAATGGTTTTGGCAGGAAAAGCCAACAATGGGGCCGGGGTGGGAGGGAGATGAATGCCTTTCACCTTTCGTTTGAACCATGAACTGTGTGGACAGAATGCTAGTCAGAGGGGGACAGTGCAGGCGATAAAAAACCAGAGCTGGAGCTCCTTCCTCCTTCCTGATGGCTTTTGCTCTTCCTGGCACCCCTCTCCTGGCCACCCCCATGTCTCTCCGCAAGGTCCACTCGATGGCCTGCCTTTTCTGGAAAGCAAAAATCACAGCTAATGCCTGTCTAGTACTTGCCACGTGCACCAGGCCCCGTTCCAAGTGCTCTTGTGTTGATTCACTCATGTGATCTTCAGAACAACCCGGCAAGGTAGGCATGACGACAGATGGGGAAACTGAGGCACGGCGAGGGTAAGTGACTAACCCAAAGCAGTCCGGTTTGGCAGGGACTGAGCTGGGACTGAGCCCAGGCTCTCTGAAAAGAAGGGAGCTCCCACTTTTCTGAGTCTTAAAATATCATCTTGATAATTCAACTCTGGGGAGCTTTCATCTTACTTCCTAGATGAAGACAGGGAGGACTGAAAGAGTGAGCAACTTGCCCTGGCTGGTGTGGCTCAGTGGATTGAGCACCGGTCTGTAAACCAAAGGGTCATGAGTTTGATTCCCAGTCGGGACACATGCCTGGGTTGTGGGCCAGGTCCCTGTTGGGGGGCATCCTAGAGGCAACCACACATTGATGTTTCTCTCCCTCTTTCTTCCTCCCTTACCCTCTCTCTAAAAATAAATAAATAAAATCTTAAAACACAAAAAGAGTGAGCAGTTTGCCCCAAGTCACTCCACGAGGGAGTTGAGCTGGAAATGTCCTTCTTCACAACCCAGAGTTCTCTCTCTTCCGTAAAATTTCCCAGCCTATGCCTTGCCCACTCTCCCCATGGGGGTCTCAGCATTCCGATAGTTGAAACACCTCCTCTCTGGGCCTATTATCAGGAGCCCCAGGCCTCCATCGGGTCATCCCCACAGCAGGTTCTAGTTGAGCTTGTAATGCTAGACATCCCTCCTCTGGCCTCCTTCAACCCCGGGCTGATCCCACTGTTGACACCGTCTGGGAGCCCCTAGAGGTCAGAGGCAGTGTGATGTTCACATGTGCTCCCAGCACAAGGTGTGCTTGCCAGTCAGTGTTGGGGGGGAGTGACTAGCGTGAGTCTGGACTGGGTTTGCGGGATTACCCTGGGGCGGCCTTTGCTGATGCCCTCTCGTTATCAGCGTGTGTGTTGTCAATACCGCTCATCTCTTGAGTGAGGGCCCACGACGGGCCACGCCTGACTCTGTCAAAGGCTTCACCCAGCCCATTAGGTCCTCACAAGGGACTCCAGGGGCCAAGGGTCAGACCCCTTTAATGGCGCAGAAACAGATGCTGAGAAGGGTAAGAGTCTTGTCTCTAGAGTCACGCAGTTACTGAGCGGCTGCAAATCCAGAGCCACCTCCTGAGGAGACCACAGTCCAGGCTGGGACAATGTAAGGGGTGTGATTTTGCTACCTTTGTCACTGTTGTGATTCCCAAATAATAACCAGCATTTTGAAAAAGATTTTATTTATTTATTGTTAGAGAAAGGGGAAGAGAGGGTGAAAGAGAGGGAGAGAAACATCGATGTGAGAGAGAAACACTGATCGGTCACCTCTTGTATACACCCCAACCAGGGACAAAACCCGAAACCCAGGCATGTGCCCTGACCTGGAATCGAACCGGTGACATTTTGGTTTAAGGGACAGCGCCCACGAAGCTGAGCCCCACAAGTCAGGGCAATAACTAGCATTTCTTAAACTTACGTAAACAGGCCAGACCCTAGGTAAGCAGCTTCATGAATGTCCTCCATTCAATTCTGGCAATCTAGGTAGTGGTTAGGAGCTCTGTCAATCAAGCTGAGACTAAGAACTGAGGCATGGGCAAATGCTTTTGCTTGTTTCCGCATCTGTAGGAGGGGCATCTTCCACCCAGGGGAAGGGTAGAAAGCATTTTGAATAGTGCATGGGTACATAGTAAGTGCTTTTAAAATGTCACCTATTTCAACCCCATTTCAAAGATGTGACAGGAAAACTGAGTCACTGAGCAAACTCACAGAGGTGGGTTGGAACCACCTAATCCAAGGCTTGGCTTGTCACCCATCGATCTGCCCGGGGTCTCTCTCCCCGGGTGGCTGGGAGCATGTAGTGAGCACAGGTATCAGAGTGCTTGGCGCTATCCCTGTGGCACTGTCACTGCCCCTGTGGGGTCTCCACAGTGGTGTGGACACTCCAGATAGAGGGCTCAGCTGTCCCTGCAGCCTCCTCTGTGGTCCCTCCCGCTAGAACGAGAGGCTGGCCTGCTTTCCGGATCCACAGGATGGCCCGCAGCTTGCTGGCCGCCCAGGCTGAGCAGAGCTTGGCCAGCTGTTCCTGGGAGTCCCTGAGCTTCGCCTCGGCTCTCCCTTGGAGGCACAGGGTGGGGCACAGGGAAACCTCCTCCACCCAGCTGGGGGCTGCCAGAGCCCCTGCCCACCCTTAAAAAGGGGCTTTCCCACCCTGCACCAGCTGTGCAGCCAACGTTTTTTGCCTCTCCAGGGGCAGGGCAGGAAGTAGGGCAATGCCAGGACCAATTAAACCTGCCAGAGGAATTAAGGTCAGCAGGATGCAATTATGCCTGTTGGATTTAACAAGGCCAGAGGGAAGGCATCTCCAGCCAGAGTTCACGGCTCCTTAGGCCTCTTGCCCTGGATGGCTCTGCGCTTCAGAAGCCTGGGCTTTCGGGCTCACCCATTCCTGGGATTTCCTTGGGAGTGGAGGGGTTAACTCCAGCCGGGCACTGCTTCCTTGGCTCCTAGGAGGAAATTGATCTAGCCAAGATGCTTTTAAAAGGACCTGCTCAGAGGAGACATTTCCCAGCCTCACCCTGCTCGGCTGTGATGGAAAATTTAGGGAGTTGAGCAATGACCTTCTGACTCTCAGGAGAGCAGCCAAGTCCCCTCACAACTTCCCTCTGGTCCTGGTATGGGAGCCGCTCAGGGCTGTTTTCTCCGGCCCTCTCCCACCCGGGGCCCCTGTTTTCTCCGGCCCTCTCCCACCCGGGGCCCCTGAGCCCGGGGCTTTGGCATTACCTGTCAGGCCTCTGGACAAGTTCTAGGTAAGTTAGGTAAGGCTGCTGTCCTTACAGCGGACCCTCTCTCCTGCCCCCAAGGCTGTATGTCCAGTGGACAGGTTTCTCTGGGAGCTCAGATGAGGCACTGTCCCACCCCAGAGTCGTAGCGTTTCATTGCAAAGATTACTTGCTGAGTGTTTTACTCTCTGGCAAGGACTACACTAGTCACGTTGGAGACAGAGAGATGGAGTTGGGGACAAGCTGTAGCATCATCACATAGCGCATTTTAGGTGGAAAAGACTGTCAAATCATTCATGAACTTGGGATTCGTTTTTATTAAAAATATTTATAGAGAAAGTGTCTGGTAGAGTAGAAATATGCCTATGAACAGGTATGGTACACAACTTTTACTCTTTGGTTTTTGTAAGTTTTTCTGAACTGACTATTTGTAACTGAGTAGATTAATAAATAATTCAAAACATATCAATATGGACTCATATTTCTACAATTCAAGACAGAAAATGGGAGGAGCTACACGTGAGCTGTCACACCCGGTGGGGCTTCAGAGGAATCTCAGGACTGTGATCAGCGATGATTTCTCAGCCAGGGACCCGGCCAGTGCAGGCTCCCTCAGTGCCCAGACCCCAGAGGTGGCTTCAAGTGGAGCCCCCGCACCTTTGCCAGGTGGCTCATTTGGAGCATCTGTACACCACAAGTTTGAGGGTTCGATCCCCGGTCAAGACAC